GCATTCAGAGTTGAATAGAAGAGAGATGAATTGTATTTTACCAGGTAACACAACCAAGGATGCTCAAGTTTTTTTTATTCCTTAGTTGACATTTAAAAGAAAGCATATTTTTAAACAGATTTGTTTTACATGATAAATTCATCTCTAAGAACACCTATTCCCGATCAGCATCTCTGATGTAAGACACTAAAGGCAATCCCACAAACTGTGAATAAGGAACTTACTATCACCACTGTTAATTAACAGACTTTCAGAAGTTTCATCTGAAGCAATAAATCAAGAAAATGAAATTGATAGGACTATTAAAGAACAGTTAAATAACTAATATTTTCAAATTTTTATTTTCTACCTGGGATATACTTTAAAGAATCAATGGGAAAACTATTAAAATAAAGAAGTTAATTGAGTAGACCAGTTAAAAAATAAATACATAAATATCAATACGTTTTCTTACAATAATTAGGGAAACATATATATAGTGCCTATATTAAGATATTCTAAGCTTTCTAACAGAACATAAAATAAGAGATAACTGGCCCATGTTCTTAGACAAGAGGACTGGTTATGGCAGAAGTTCCAATTCTCTCCAATTTAATTCATAAATAAAATAAAATTTTGATTTTGTGGCCTTGGTAGGAAATAATTGACAGAGTGATTCAAAAGTTCTGGTAAAAGTATATGTAAATATATGGAAAAATAAGAGGAGACTAGCACTGTCATATATTCAAATGTAATCCAAAGTTTTATTCATTAATCAATGTGATAATAATGAAGTCTTGATGTAATTGGGTTGAAGTATAAATAAGGACACAGCAAATGCAATATGATTTAACATTTTTGGTGACAAATTAGACTTAATTTCTTTTAAGATTCAAAAGGTATACAAATATGAAATATGAATGAATAATAAACCAGGAAGGGTTAAGAAGTTTAGTCTCACTAGTAATCACAGAAATGCAAATTAAAATAATCAGATTCTTGACCCATTTTCAAATTGAAGAGAGAAAGAAAGAGAAAGAAAAAGAAAATAGCTCTAGTAATTTATCCTGAAGAAACTGGATAAATTATGGCTACAGAGATCAGCGTACAAGGATGTCCACATTTTGTGTTATTAATAGTACAAAAGTGTAGCTAATCAGTGATTGCATAAATTTCATAGACTTGAATATTACATATTCATTGAAAATCATGCTGTTGCAGGATAGAGGATGGCACAGACAGGTGTTGCTAACATATATACACAAAACAATCCAGAAATCTAGAGGGATGTGCACCAGATGATGGTGGTGATTCTTCTCCACAGACTCACAAGCCATTTCTTTTATCTATTTGTATTTCCAAATTTCTTCATATCCTTTTTACTAGATAAACATTGATTTTATAGCATTACAATTTTTTAATCAGTAAATTAAGCAACTGAGTACCCTGACCCTCTTTTTTTGTGTATGACCTGAGGGATCCCTCGGCACTCTAATCCTCAATTCAGACATATTATATGCTTATTTTTCCTTGAAAAAGAATAAGACCTTTAAGACTAGGTCTTGTGGTCCTTTTGCTTTTGTGGACTTAACCCTCAGCACAGTGTCCAGCACAGACAGAGGGGGTATTCAAAAAATGTTAAGCGATGGGGAAGGGAAAAAAAAAACAAGAGAGCAGATGGATTATCTAACTCCTAAGTGCTCCTAAGGCCACATGTGTAAGTGAAAAAGTTTAGGTGTGGATTTAAGTTTTCACCAGAAAATGTGAAGTCATGCTACACTCACCTAAGAGCTTCATTGTAAATATAAAGCCAGAACTTATTCATCACTATTTTCTAAAGATATGAACTGTTTTATGGTTTCAGATAAGAATGGTATAAAATGTAGTAGTGGTGTTGCCTCATGATTACAAAACCAGGTGAAGTTCAGCTCATCTGGCTGGCTTACTCTTAGGGGGTTGGTATTCTTCTGAAATCACTTACTACCTCTCAAGATATTCTAATTTCTAAAGTCTGGGAATCATCAAAGTGAATTGCATTAAGAGAAACATTCACAAGGTCAAAGATTAGCAGAAGGTCGTTACCTGAAGGTTATATAAAAGACAGGTTAAATTCTGTATAGCTTGTATAATCTGAAAAATAAGATGGTATATATCAAATTCTTGAAAACCTTTCATTAGCTACAAATCAAAAAAGCATAGTCATATATTTAAAGCATACATAGCTTATCTCTGTGAAGATTCTGAAAAACGTCTATATTCCACCTACAAAACATAAAAACATAAGAAAATGAATAGCCACTCTACCATTTGAAAAAGCTGTTCTAAAATGCATGACCTGCATCCTCTCTAAACTCAGTTACCTCATCTATAGTGACTCTGGATCCTCCTAGGAAGAAAAACCTATAGGAATCCCCACTTGAAAGCAAGAGCCTCCCTCATGAAAACTTGGTGTTAGGGATGCATGGCAAGTTTTACCAAGCTAGGTCTTAAAACAAGGGAGGACTGAGAGGAAGCCTTGCAAGGGACACATATTTACTGCATGCAGACCACATTATAAACTGAGCACTCTGTGCCCAGGTTGAAGTTGTCTCCTGAGTCAGACTGACCCCTTACATCCTAGAGGCCAGATTTAGAAGACAGAGAACATTCTATCAGGCCTCCAACTCCCTGCCTCACTGGCTAAAATAGTCACTGGTTGGGATAAGAAAACTGGTCTCCCCCAGAGCCTGCCTCAATTAGACTTCACTGGGCCAGTGCAAAGACTATAAATGAGGCCACAGGAGACCATCCATTCCTTGGGAAGTGGGTCTATGCTTTATTCTTTGTCCTGCCCACAGCACACATTAACAGAACATGTGGATACTGAGGGTTTCCAGTTTCCGGAATTGAATTAAATTTTTGCTTATTCATCTATTGTCTGCCTTCTCAAATTGTATGTAAACCAGTGAGTATCAGGACTTTGTATATTCAATATTATATCTGAAAACCTAAAAATGATGTCTGGCATGCAACAAACACTTGAATTTGATTGCACTCCACTCAACAAGTACTGATCACTCACTATTGACTCTGTGCTTTATCTTATGGGAGATCATTTGACTCCCTGATCTCCAAGAGCCTACAGTCTCCAGTATGATGCTTATTTTCATCTGAGAAGACCTAGTTTTAAGTGTAAAAAACAGTCAGCCATGGTAATGTTTTCAGGTAACTTTCAGCTTGTTAAATGCAATCATTTCAGGTTGATGATGAGCTAACCAGATCTTCTCTTCCCCCATAGGGCAAATTAAAAATTTCATTACTGAGAAGCCCCTCCAATAGAGAAAGGACAAAGCCTGAATAAAGGAGATGAGATTTAAAAGGCATTAGATCTCTGCTCAACCCTTTGGAAGATAACAAGGACTAAGTATCCCCATTCTTTAGTGAGTTTTGGAGTTTTTGCTTTTCTACTGGTTCTGTCCTTGCCCATCCAAATTTTATTGTTTTTTGTAGCAAGAAATCCAATGGGTATAGAATTTTTATACTCTAAAAATTAAACACATAGAAATGAGTTGTCTTGTGCTACCCAAGAACTACCATTACTAGTGAGAAAGGAAATTGCACATTATCCTTTTAATGGAGTTGGTCTGCCACCTTGTGGTTCAAGAGAATAACTGCAATTGGTGATTAACAGGATTTCTGCCATTGGGTTTTTGGAAGGGGGTGATGGTGTTTTGTTTTTTTAATTCTTTCAGTAATATGTTTTAACCTTACCTTATTAAGTGAGTTAATGGGAAACTATCCATTATACAATTTTTAAGAGTGTGATTTCAAGTGGTACCTCAGCGTAGTTCCTCAAAATGCCTTATTAAGTGCCAAATTTTCTAGATAGGTTAATACAAATAGGAACCTGGACACTTAATCTCGATTATCCTCCTGTGACTAAATAATGGATGGGAGCTGCTGTGATGGCTTTCCATTCAAGATTAAACTATCACTGACCAACTCTTCCTACCTCCCTACCTCTTTCCTTCCTTCCTGATAACATGAAAACAGTTAAAAGCTACAAAACAGATTTAAAAGTGAAGTCTGTACTGAGAAGGATAAAAAACAGAAACATTTTAAGACACATAAGTTAGAAAGTTTACAATCAGAAAACATTTTATATATATATATATATATATAATGTTTTGTTTGTTTTGTCACATTCACTTTTCTTATAAAGTTTTAGAATTACAGTTGTCTTTCCTATGTTTTTTTAAAAATCTTTGAACTTTTTCTCCTAGCCATATGTAGTACATACATCACTTTACAGTGATAAAAGCTAGACCCTTTGAGGCCCTTTCACACATAGTATTTCAATGAAACAATGTCTAATCAGGACACTGATGAAAAAGATATTGACTTTGTGGTGCTGTTTATAAAATTCTTTATTTGATGTCATATTTTTTAAGAGAGAGAGAGAGAGAATTTTTAAATATTTATTTTTCAGTTTTCGGTGGACACAACATCTTTATTTTATTTTATGTGGTGCTGAGGATCGAACCCAGTGCCCAGTGCATGCCAGGCGATTATGTTACCACTTGAGACACATCCCCAGCCCTTGATGTCATATTTTATACCAAATACAAAATGCTACATTTACCACATATAGATGACATACACATTTATGTTTTTTCCTACACTGGCACATGCTGATACTTGATAATGGGCCTCATTCAGTGTAATATCTGCACTTTGTCCCTCTGATGCCATAATCAGAGGTCTCCCTTTAAACCGAAAGTCAAGTGGTTTGTCACTTGGCCTTCTCACTTCCTTCATGTCTGCTTTTATAGCATTATATCAAAGAGGCCTTCCCTGGCCACCCTATCTAAAATGGAACCATTCTAAGTCTGTCACTCTCTATCTCTTCTGCCTTGCTTATTTTTCTTTATAGCACTTGATGCAGCCTCCATGTTTATTTCTTTATATTTTGTTCTTCCTAAATTTAACTTCTTGGAGAGCAGGTATTCATGTCTTGTTCTACTATATCCTAGCACCAAGAGGATGGTACACAACATTTAATAGGTACTCAATAAACATTTTTTTCATTTGTCAAAACAAATCCTTTACAATACAACCTTCTTTCTTTCTGTGCTGCTGCCAGTAAAGAGGCTGCCTGAGGAGGCTCTCCTGGATCAGGCTTAATGAGGAGGTGAGGTTCTAGATGGACATCCTCAAAGCCACTCAGCTCCCCCAGTTCAGCATAGATATGCAGCGTTTCCTCCAAATATGTGCAAATTTGCTGGTCTTGATTACTGAGTACTTCTGTGGAATAGAATTTACCATAGAAGTTCATCACTACCATGAATACAACAAATTATATAAAAATTCAAGTTAGGAGATAAAGATGCTACTTAGTGAGTTGTGTGATCTAAAAGGTAAAGCTAATTCCATTGGGTAGGACAGACCCAGGTTCAAATATTGCTTCTTCCACTTAGTGACTGTGGCCCCCAGCAAGTGACTTATCAACACTCTCAGCTTCCTCTGCACTTCATTCCCCTATTTCCAGAAAACCCTGCAAAGTTCTTCTTTGTTTATGTAAGCTGTTTCCTATTAAGACTAGACACCCTGCTCAGGAATAAAAATTGAGGCAGCCCTGTCCAGAATGAGAAAATGCCCACAGGGGGAAACAACACAAACATACATGCAAATAAACAACACAAATAGACTGAAACTCCTCAGTCCTCAGCCAGTCATGGTCAAAACCAAGCATGCTGGCTTATTTCTTTGTTTCTAAACACCCAATTTCTGTGACCACCCTTGCATGAATCCTTCTCTCCTGATTTCACTATGTTACAAAATTCTTAAACCTAAGAAACCTTAACCAAAATCTAATCCAGGAGTTCTCAGCCCTCTGTGCTCCTCAGGATTACCTGGGGGAGTTTAAAAAATACCCAGGTCTACTGTGCACACCTCACTGATTCTGAGTCAGTTGGTTGAGGATGAGCAACCTCCTCAAGTGAGCTAATCTTACTTACAGACTTGTATTTGATGGCCAGACCTATTGGGTTCCTTGTGCAATCATAAAACTACAATATGACAGTGTTGGACCTAAAATTAAACCATCAGGAAGCAATTCCGACATTCATCAGTACCACACTGCCCAGTTACTGTTTCATGCATGCATTTCTGTGTGTTTTAATCATTAAGGTAAAAGAAGGAGATTGGATAGTATCAGGATGCTTTCCTGGAAGGTGGTCAGTGCAAGCCTCAGAAACACACAGTTAACCTTCCATTCATGACACCCGGGTTTTCCCAATTCCCAACTAGCACACCATGACCAGGGAGCCAGAAGGGCCCACACCATACCTTGACATTGCTGAGTTCTAGCCACTCTGGCTTCAGCTTTCCACTTCTCTTCATTGAATTCACTTGTCCTTCCCCCTTCTTTTTCTGGGCAACTTTAAGAGACAATAGTCAAGGGACACAACTGAAACTAAATCCAAGTATGTGTAGGATCATTAGGGAAACATGGAAACTTGGTAATAAAATTAATTTATAAAAGCAAAAAAAATCAGCATAAAGAGAATTAGTGATGCTCCCTGGCCAAGAGCTTGGTTTTCTTGAGAGAAAAGGACTTTGAAAAATATAACATGATTCTCAAAGTCAGCAGTGTAGGATGACTCAAATATTCACACACACACAAACACACACACACACACACACACACACACACACACAACACCCATGTTTGGTACAAATAAGATAATAATTTTTATTTTTTACAACATTTGGGTGTTTTAACAGGTGAGAGTAAGAGCATTGGGGGATGGAATTAGGGAACCATACTGAGTGGATACAGTGGAGATAGAGAAATTTTACATAATAGTAAAATGCAACTAATCAAATTAACATTAAGAGTGATGTCTTGCACCCACATTTACACAAACTGTCCTTGAGTACCCAAGAGAAATAGATTGATTTAGAACCTTTAGATCCACTAATCTAAAAACATTTATTGAATGATTCCTCAATACAAGGCACCCAGAGGTATGCATGACATGTCCCTGCCCTCAAGGAGCTTCCAATCTGATGAAATAAGCACATATATATGTACATACATGTAAAAGATAAGATCCACAAGCACCAGATAAATGCCTTAGAGAGCAAGTGCTAAGGCATTCTTCATGAAGCAGGTGAGGACAGAAGCTGTACCACAGTGCACAGACAGAGGGAAGGGAGGGCACTGCATGCAGAGAGGAGTGTGGACTATAGACCTGCAGGTGACAGGCTGTCACTATCACAGGCAGGTGCAGGGGCAGGGAGCAGACCATTCTGGCTAAAGCAGCATTTTCATGCAGGGGAGACATGATTTTAATATTTTTTCCCAATTGAACAAGCACATTCCATGGACCAAAGACAGAAGGAAATGTTACCTTTCTACTGCCTATTGGATCCACCTCATCCAGTTATTTCATTCCTCCTTGGAATTGGTGTGAATTTCATACATCTAGGGACCAGCTGATGAAGCACTGATCAGAAAAATTCCTCTCTCCTCATTAGCAACTTCTCTAGCAGTAAGCTTCTGAAGGGAAATAACAGATGGCTTCTGATTCTACATAAAATAGGAGGATGTGCAGATGAACCCCTGTCCTTTCTAAGGGTCACACGGAACACATGAGCCATGGAAACACAGGACTAGGGAAACCTTTATTTCACTTCCCACTTTTCAAAAGAGCTGAAGAAGTTGATAAGATCTCTAAGGGAGAGGGTATGGAGAAGAAAGAATAGAAAGAAAAGGTTTAGGGGAATGTTTGTTCTTAACAATTAGTGGTTTAAAAAGTCAACTTTTTAAAAAGAGAGAGAAAAGTCAGAGAACTCATTTAAAAAATATCAAAATGCTGTGGTCGGGGATGAGGGATTTTTCTATGAGGATATGAAAAAGGAAGCAGTCTCTAAAACATGACAGATGGAGAAGGATGATGGACCTGAAGAGTCCCTTGAATTTGGCAGTTAATAGCAATATAGTTTCAGCGATTATTTAATGGGCACAAATCCCCAGAAATCAACAACATTGACTATAAAAAAAAAAGGTAAGAAAGAGAAGGCCAGACCTTACATTCCCCAGATGTCACCAGCCTCTTCTGCTATTGTCCTGTACAACCCAGCAACAGAACTGCTACAGCTCTATCTGTAAGTATCTCTCCTCACCAGCCAGATAAGCCGATTAGTGGACAGCATGTCTAATTCATCTTTCTGTGCCAGGCACACTGTCTTGCACACAGCAGGCTCATAACAAATATATTTAACATAATTCCACTGGAGAGAAATAGGAGGAAAGCCTAAAATGTGAAGCCACACTGTGATTCAGCCACCTGTTCCATGGACATTCACTGTAGTACTTAGATGCCTCACATGCAGCTCTGGGGACCCAAAGATGAAGGGGACCCAAAGATGAAGACGACCCTGATTGACACTGACTTGGACCAGGAGCTGAAATAACGGCCAAAAGAATGTCTGCCGCTGAGCAGTGTGGGGGTGAAAATGAAAACTTGGCTTTGGTTTGTGGCTCTTGACACTGTCTACAGAGCTGGCTGCAGCGTGTGGTTTTCTTTCTCCCTCACGGACTGAGTGACACCTTTACCCAGAGCATGCTGCTCTGTGCACCGCTGCTGGCTCCTTGGCACTGGCTTGTCTGCCCTCCTGACTCTGCAGTCATCACTGCCAGATCCAGAGTTCTGTGCCAGGGGGGACCTGGAGTACCTCCTCCATGTTTTTTAAAGTAGCATGAAAATATAAGATGGGACAGACAGACAATTGGTCTACCTGGTTCTGTGCTTGGCCTCTGAAAATGGAAGCAAAAGCAATTTTGTGGCAAGCCTTCTCCAATATGGCCTTCTGTAATGAGGAAAGGTCTTCTGAGCATTGTTGTTCGATTACAGCCCTATTATCTGAAGTATAATCTGCCTCCCTTGATTCAATGTACTGTTTCAACTTTCTCAGATTACAAGGTTGATGGTGTCTATATGTAAAAATTCTGGGTGGGTTTAAATTGCTTAAGACATAAGGAAGAGTGAAATCACTTGAGTCAGAGTTATTGGGGGAGGGGCACTGGCAGAGTAAGGTTTTGTTTTGTTTTGTTTTGTTTTTATTTTTTTGTTTTTGGTGTCAGGTATTGAACCCAAGGGCATTTAACCACTGAGCTACATCTCTAGCACTTTTTACTTTTTATTTTGAGACAGGGTCTCAGTAAGTTGCTTAGAGCTTTGCTAAATTGCTGAGTCTGGCTTTGAACCTACGATCCTCCTGCCTCAGCCTCCCAAGCCACTGGGATTATAGGTGCCACCTCACCTGGCATGATAAGATCTTTAAAAAGTGAAGAATAGATAAAGGGATGTAAAGTCTCACTCATTAAATAACCTTTAGTCCAGAAGATACTGAGGCAAACCCATCACTACTCAGTAATCATGTGAACCACTAAGCTGCGAACAAGAACTCAAATTCCCAGGAGAAAAGGCAACATGGCTTCTCTGGAGACAGATATTAAACATTGGTAATGCAAAGATGTTTATTTGTGCCATAGCACTTAAAAACCATTTCTTACAAAATAAGTTGCCAACATTTAAAAACGGAGAGATTCTACCATTAAAAAAAAAAAACACCTCTAGGATTCTGTGTGCTTGGTAAAACCGAAGATTGGCAATAATAGGTACATATTCTCATTTAAAAACACTGACTATGGCTGAGTATCGGCTCTGCTAAGCTGGAATGTGTATTCACTAGTTGACGACAGTCTCCATCATTCTCTGCTGCCTCCGCCACACTGACTCCTTGATGCTGAACTGGGATTCACTCACTTCCATTCCTGCCCAATCCCTGTGGACATACAAAGCTAAAGACCAATGATGCAGGGAAAGACAAAAAGGAGCTGCTCCCTTTAGTTCTGTTGTTATATCATATCCACTTTTCACTGATTCTGTTAGTGACTGATTCCAAGGGAATGAAAAGATTTAAGATTGCTTCATACTTTGAACTTGAACTAGCTGATCTACATGTTCATTGTCTTTTTTATTGTTTAATTTAGAAATTGTCTTACTTAATATTCAAGGGATGCTTCTTAGACTCAGTATCTGAGGACTTAGTGAACTTATCTATACGTTTTGTAGGTTTGATTCCCACTCATTCCCAGCTAAGTCCTCTTTAAAAACAAATAAACAAACAAACAAACAAAACCATCTGGTAAGGACACTACTCTGTCTTCTTACTACTTTCAGATGCTTAGCTTCTGGCTGTTTCCCAGTTCATCATGTCTACTATAACATGCAGCAGGATAAACATCTTAGTACTAATGAAGGTTTTTCTAAAGGGCACAAGGAATGAAGAATCTTTCTTTTTGATCTGAATGTGAGAATAATTTTCTGAAACATTAGGATGGGAACTAGGAAATGAGGGTATCTGTGTACCCCTAGCTAATGCTTCAATTCTCCAAGATGATCACTAAAAGAGATTGATGGCGCAGGGACAGATATAAGAGATGTCAGACAGATGTAACTAAAAGGTCTATGAGCAAACAGCAGGGTGCACTTGACACTAAGGATAAAATCCTGCTTTCTCTTTTACTCCCTGGTATCACCCTTATGATATGAATACAGAAACAATATTAGCAACGTTTTACTATTGTTCATGGCCAAACACATTTTACCAAAAACTAAGTAGTGGCTGCCTTCATTCTGATATTTGACTAACTGCATTCCAAACTGCCTGTTTGTGTGGTCTACGAGTGGTCTATGCAGATCATTTGAGATAAGAGGCCCAGATCCATAGCTCAAGTCATACTGTAAGTTGAGCATCATGGCTTGACCTGCATTCATATGCTATATTGCCCAGAAAACACAACGATCGTCTTTATACTGTATCTAATTCTTGATTAATCTGCCAGTCATTTGGCTTGAAATACCACCCAAGAAGCAGGATTTGCTTCTCTTTCTGGCCTTCAGTTTTGAAGAAACCTCAGTTTCTATAAAGATATGCTGAGATTTTCCTTCTTCCAGCCTGGTTTTCACCATCCCATGGATTAATCAAAACTGTTCCCTTCACTTGCCATTTTTTTTCTCCATATTCCTTCAGAATATCCCAGATACCAGAGAGGCAGCTAGAAAAATCAGCAAGTTTTCATGAAAGTTGCAATAGTTACAATGCAAATGCATCAGGGACATGGGGCTTGTTGAAGGCTTCTTGTCATCCTCTGCTTTAGCTCTGTGAAAAACATTTTACCTTTGAACAACTCAGTATGGCTGAGCAGAATGAAGAAGCCTCTCTAGCCAACTGACATTTACTAGCAAACACTGCTCCAGCCACCTCACCCAAGAATCTCATCACCACAGACACGCTTCTTTGTTTTCTTGGAACAGCAAGATAGAAACTTCATTGAGCTTTGAATTTTCCAAAACCAGATGGAATCAATGCTGTCTGCTAATGTACCAAATAGCATGTCATTCAATGGATAATAGATACATTTTACAGAGCCATCACTGCACTGCCCCTGTCAGTATTGTCTCTTGGATTCTTCTTGTTAACAGAGCCTGATGCTCCATGATGCCCATAAGAAGTAAATGGATGCTATCTTCCTTCTCCACACCATTGTGGACTACATAGATGTTATGTAAGAAATGTGATAAAGTGTTGGCTTTCACTAAACCTAATTACGACTCAATAATAAGATTATACATTACAAAGATAAGTGTTATTCACGACTTTAGTCATCAGAACCAGTTGTAGTAGAAATAAGAAAGAATCTTCTTCAGATGTCAGGATGGTGTTCACTTGTTTGGCAGAGGGGACATTATAATGACAGTTACAAATGGGGCCAGCAAGCAGCACAACAAGGCAATCCCAGTAGGAATAGAAGGAGCAAGATGCTGAAAGTGACCCTTTGTCCCCAGCATTTAACATTTCAGTCATTAGATCTGAGAGAAGGATATGGGGTTTGGGGATAAGAAGAAAGACCAAGATAGACATAACAGAGAAGTACCCGGGGTTGGGGGGCAGGGGGCCTCAGGGAAGTGCCTATTCACTATCTAGTACCAAAGTACTACAATCTCTTCACAATTCAAATAGTTACTAAATCAGCTGTAAAATCACTAATAATAATGGAACTATATGAGGTGCATTTTATTTCACTAAGAATTTTGGGCATTTTTTCCCAAGGAAATGCAGAATGAAGTCTTATTAAAAATATGCATCATACAGTCATATACTTACTACCGCTGCAAAGATGTATTTCTGGTATTTTTCTTGTAAAAAGCACAGAACATCAGTTAGAAGTAGAGCTAGGATATCTTCAAAGAAAAAAAAAACATTACTAATGTTAGTGATGCAAAACGTATTCCAAATGCCTTTATTAAATATTCTAATTTCATGCTTCCAATTTAAATAAATTGAATAAAAATTAAGTGACTCAGATTAGTCTAATTATAAAACTTTTATTAAATCCCCAGTATTTTGATCATGAAGGATATACAAACAACTTACTAAAAAGCCAATTTTAAGTGTGCATGTTTGTATGTACAACTATACATATACATACAGAATTTAAATTTCAGATTTCAAAATGGATGGAAAATATCTTACAGAAAGAAAGTTATAATAGACTGGAGCAAGCCCTTACATTTAAGGGAAAACCATGCTCAGTTAAAAATGTAAAAAGGGGACTGGGATTGTGGCTCAGCAGTAGAGCACTCACCTAGCATGTGCAAGGCCCTGAGTTAGATCCTCATCACCACATAAAAATAAATAAATAAAATAAAGGTATTGTGTCCAACTACAACTAAAAAATAAATATTTTTAAAAAATATAAAAAGGCAGCTTCCACATCAACTTATACATTAAAACCTGCTCCTTTGTTTCATGGAGAGTTGAGTGAAGTTTGAGTGTTTAGATTTCTCTTGCAAATTGTTTACAAAAGCCCACCTTCACTGGAACCACTGCACACACAGGCTAACCTGCACAGTGAATCTGTTAAAGGGACAAGGAACAATCAGATCTATGGATAGTGGTTAATGCTTTTTCAATACAACATTGCACCTGTCAAACAACAAATCCCATTTCAGACATTAGCTGAACTTCCAACAAAATCTGATCATCCTCCTGTGGATAATGACCTTGATTTTAACAATTTAACTAGAATTTAACATTTTCTTCCTCTTGTTGATCACCTGAGAACATTACTATGATGAAGTGTTAAAAACAAGGAGACCAGGCTGGTAGCTCTTATTCCTGGCTGCAAAGCAGACTTACCTGGGGAACTTTAAAACATCCCTCTGAGCTGGTTTTCATCCCTTCACTGACAAAATCAGAATCTTGGGAGGAGACTTAAGCATTATTGGGGTTTTTTAAGCTCCAGGGGTGATTTTAGCGTGTAGCCAGAGTAAAAAAGCCTGGGTCAGGCAAGGTCCTACCTATAGGACCTCAATAATGGAAATCAGCTGGTTTAGAGTCTAACCAGATTAACAGAATTGAGTTAATGCCATGAGCAAAAGGTAGCCTGAGGAAATACTTACAACAGGGCCAGCAAGCAGGTGGATGTGTGTTACAGTGCTCAATAACAAAGACGATATTCAGAGTTTTCTCACTCGCTCCCTTCACAGTCTGACAGCTTCAGACTGACATGGCACACAATGGACCCCTACCTGTGTAGGTGTGATAATACCTTGCTATCAACACAACTGACAGAATAATATTCCTGTGCCAATGATGAGCAGAACTCTCAGCTCCTTTAATTTTAGACATCACAAACATGCACATTCATAAAAATACATAGGAAAGTTGTTGGTCGGGACAGCAAATTCCCACCAAAGACATGATTACTGGTCACACTTGCCTATTGAACTTCACAACTTGATCTTTCAACTGAAAAATCAAGTGTCTATGTATGCAGTCCTGCCACTCAGAACCATCCTTCCTCTGAAAACCTGTCTTCTGTTGCCTGAACAACAGGAATGAAGGGAGGAGTATGTCTGGTGTAGCCACCTTTGAAATGTCCCATGGTGGTTTTCTAGTAAACGAGGCCATCATACAGCAGGGTCCGCTCTGTACTCATCAGGTCCTGCTTTCTAAACACGTGGCCATTTTTTAGCTTTGTGTACATTTTGTTTTCAATCTTACTTAGGATCTCAAGCCATTTTTGTTTTTTCTCATATTTGTTGACTTTCAGATTCATGGCTGCAGTCATGTCTTTAATTAAGCAAAGAGCTTTGCATAAGTCTTTATGCTCTTCAGTTCTTTCTGCATGGGAAAAAGAGAGAAAGAACACCATACAATAAGCCACTGAAAGAACACCATCCAATGAGAGCACTGAAAAAGAAAGGGTTTTTTTTTCTTTAGTTTTTAAATATATTTATATCCAAATAGCAAAAACTCCATGGGAAAAGTGCTGGATTAAATTCAAATACTACATTATCACTCTACACTTCCCACCCCCCAAAAAGAAACATTAAAATACTTGATTATAAAAGATTTGCTTTATTAAACATGTTTTCAGGGACAATAAGATAGCTGAGTTCTATTCCCTGTAGTAGGAAATGTGTCACAGCCAATTCAGGGCTTCCTTACACCTTTCTAGACACAGCAATCCAGTAATTACTGCACCAAGTTTCTAAGAACTGAAGCCAACTGTGGCATCTAATCTCCATCCTCTTACAAACTCAGCCATGGGTAACCTGAGTGAACTTCAGATTTATTTGCCTTCCTGGATCCCTTCTTCCATAAAAAATAACATTCAAAACTGTGTTTTCCAGCCATGTTGGCATACCTATGAACATTATAATTACAATATTTTCTTTGAGGTGGGTGTGTGTTAGAGTGCTCAATAACAAAGATGATGATCAGAGTTTTCTCATTTGCTGTGAAATAAATTAATCTATTTTTAAGAGCTCTAAACAGTGCTTAATAGGCAAGTCAGTCATGCTCATGTCACCAGAGCAAATGATTATCAATTCCAGTAGTTACACTTTCAACCGCTGGCCACATGCTCTCATTTCTGTATCACCTTAAGAAAGTACTCTGGAGGAGTTTCTGAAATAGCCTCCTGAAGATTCACAGAAATAAAGTAAGCTCTTTTCTGTATTTGATGATAAGGTCACCTAAATGATGTTTATGAGGTGACTGGAACTCAAGGGCTAAAGAGAATATGACAAAAGAAAAACTGGGAGAGAAACCAAGACTCTCTAGAGGCTAGAACTGAAGAAATATATCTTAGAATGAGCAGTCAGTGGAGAATGAGAATCAACCCTCAAAAGGGTCTAAATACTTCCAGGATCTAAACATCTTCATAGATTTGGGAGGGTCTGATCAGAAAACCTCAAGGAGCAGATCCTGATGCCCATCTGTACAAGGAAGATTTTCTCTCTCGCTGCCTGTCAAAGAACACACCTCACTTCTTGACCTGCACATAGCCCTTCCTCCACGAAAGGTTCTAATTTCTTAAAAGCCTGTTTTACTACTAGAGAAAATCAGAGTTGAGTTACAAGGTCAAGAAAAGGTCAAGAAGAGGCTCTGTTTTGACAAATTATTTCTTGCAAAGCTTAGTTACCCAAAGAGGACAGCATGGACCTCCCTGGGAATCCTGTTAAAAATGCTTGCTTTGGGCTCTGCCCTAGACCTACTCATTCAGAATCTGCACCTAAACAAGGTTTCCAGGTAAAGTATATGGCTAATATAGTTTGAGAAACACTGCTGTAACAGAGTCATGGAAACAAATGTCCTCAGAAGCTCAGGGACTGACTGACCATTGGTATGGTCTGACCTGAGAAGGCTTCCATTTGGTCACCATGCCACTATGCCAGAAGGGCCATAACTTACAGCTTCTAACATACATTAGTTTATTCATTCTATCAGAAATTTGGTGTGGGATTATTCTTAGAGTAACACTAGTTGACTACCATGATCTGACAGATTTTAGTTCTCATACTTTTAGAGTAAACTTAAGAGAGAATATATGAACTAAATAGCCTTAATTTTGCTTTCATTCCTTTACTGAGAAGAAAATTTATGAGGCTTTTCTTTTTGTATTATTTTTATATTTTTTGTACATTAAATTATAGAAAGTAATAACAATGAGACATAAGAAACAAACACCATAATTTTTGCCTGGACTTAGTTCTAAATGTGACTGATAAAATGCAAAGAATAAATTATGTATGTCTGCTCATCTAGACCTCTTCCAAAAAGAAAAGTTGAGTTTTGTAGAGTGGGCATTTAAGATCTCATTACCATTTCAATTCTTTCTAAGTCAATTGGTAATAATAATAAAGGCTATAACAACAGGTTCCCTTTATTGAGCACTTTGCTTTTGCCAGGTTCTTTCTGCTGGGCACTTTCCCAGACAATCTCACTTAGTACTCACAACAATTCCATATGGCTAAGATGATCATTCTCAGAGCACATTACAGAACCTATAACAGAATGGTTTCAACTCGGCGCCAGACTCAGGCTGGTCAAGCAGTGGAATGCTGCAGGGCCCAATGCAGTGACCAGGGACCCAGGGCTGGGATATAAGCATGATCCAAACACTCAGCTTATAACTATCCATTTCTCTACACTCCCCTGGTGTCCTTATTTCTTCCTAACCAGCCCAGTCTCCAGGCATGTCAATTAAATGTATATTTTTGCTTCCCTCATCCTTTTGTCTTGCTCACCCTTGCAAAACTCAGACCCAGTAGGCTCTTCTGTACTTCACCAAGCTGAAAGAGAAACAGACATGGCCTGCATTCAGTGCATCCCCAGCTCAGTCCACAACACTCCATCACCCCATGACCACAACACTCCATCACTCCATTTCCATCACCCCAGAAATGGAGCCATATGCACTCATTCTCTGGTCTATACTGACAGAGATTCTTGGCTGGGCCAAGTAGTAGTCAGGTCCCTTAACTCTCCTCTAAGCTCCTCTGTGAACTTCAATATCAAATCCAGACTGAGAAGATCTCCAAATCTAATCAGGCTCCTCAGCCTCTGCCATGCCCAGTAACATCTCTGATCACCTAGGTCTATCTTCAGTAGAATCTTTGGTTGGTTGACACATAATAATATCTCTATCTCCTCTTAATTTTCTATCCACTGTTCCCCAGCCTGCTTTTTGACTCTCTATCCATTTGTTTTTGCTGTAGGCACAGATTAGCCTAATCTCTTTTTCCCATGTGAGTGGTATTACATTATAGTGGTCCCTATACCTAGTGAAAGGGTGAAGTTTCTAAGCTGCAAAGCCTGAGTTAAAATGTAAAGGACCAGGCATTGTAAACCTGCTTCTAAACTGCAGAGCATGGGTTAAATTCCTGAGGCAGT